CTGAACGTCCGCGCCCGACACGGGGGAATCGATTCCGGTGACAGGCGGGGCGCAGTCCGGGATCGGCAAGTCGGCGAGGTCGCGAAAGCACGAGCAGTTGCGCGTCCACTCGACGCAGTCGAGATCCTTCATGAAGCACGCGCAGCGCGGTGGCGGCTCGCGCGCCATTCTCCGCAGCGCGACCGCCGCCGCGCGGCGCGCCTCGCACAGCGAGCCGCCGCGCGCGAACACGTCGTAGTCGAGGAGCGCGGCCGCGTCCTCGCGCGCCATCGCGGGCCACGTGTCGAGGCGCGCCGTGAGCGCGTGGCGCGGGATCGGCGGCCACCGCCAGAGCGCCGCGCGCACAAGCACGAGGTCGAGGCCCTCGACGACGCCCGCGACCACGTAGCCGCACTCGCGCGCGACCGCCTCGACCGCGGCGGCGGACGAGCCGTAGAAGCACGACCCGCGCCACGCGCCGGCTGACTCGCCGAGCGGCATCCACTCCGCATCCGGGAACGCGAGGCTGCTCCGCTCGCCGTCGCCAAAGTTTGAGTTGTATTCGACGCTCACGACGCGCGGGCGAAACGTCGAGAGCAGCGCGCGCAGCACCCACACATCCGCCGAGTCGATGTCGACGCTCACGTAGTCCGGCTCGAGCGGCGCGCCGTGGCGGCGCAGCAGTGCGGCGACGGTCCCCGGTGTGACAAAGGCACGATGGAGGTTGATGGACGAGTTCGCGAACGTGCTATCGAACAGCAGCCCCCGCCACCCACGTCGCCACAGCGCGTACGTGTTGCTCCCGGCTCCGCCCTCGAACGAGTCGCTGTTGAATCCGATCTCGACGAAGAATTGGTTGGTCTCGCCAATCACGTCCAGCACCGCCTGGACGATGCCATCTTGCGGTCCTTGCGATGTGTACGAGCCGACGCACGCGCACAGCAGCCACACAATCGCAACTCGATTACCGTCATTATTCATTGCCACTGAGAGGCAATCAACGACCTTGAACTGCATCGAGACCTTGAACTGCATCGATATAGGCGAGGTCCAATCGCCTCCCGCAGCCGCCAGCGTCGCGAGGTCCAATCGCCTCCCGCAGCCGCCAGCGTCGCGCGCCTCCTCGAGGTGCACAAAAAGTTCCAAAAATGTCGAAGCGCCGCAATGCGAACGGCCAGATGCGGCGCGAGGACTACGAGGCGCAGGAGCGGGCCGACGACGACCCGCGCGCGCACGAAGTCGTTGACGCCGCAGCAGGCGAAGTCGTCGCCCTTGAAGACCGCCTTCTCGACGACGCGGGGCGTCCGCTTGAGGAACGGCGGGAACGCCGTGTCGCCGCGCACCTCGAAGGGCAGCGCCGCGACGACGGCCTTGAGCGCCGCCTCGAAGCGCGGCTTCGCGCGCGCGGCGTCCCGGTAGAGCTCGTCGAGGCGCGCGCCGCCGCCGCGCTGGGGCCGCGCGGCCGCGCCGGGGCACTCGAGCGCGGCCACGGACGCGCGGAACGCGGCGAGGCCCGCCGCGTCGTGTTCGCGAGAAG